TTGGACATGTCCAGAGGAGAGACAGTGGTTTGGACATGTCCAGAGGATGGACAGAGGGGTATATTGGTGCAGCTGCCTGGAAAAAAGACAGAGGAAACGGGTGATGGTCATAAAATTAGATCATCATGAAAAAGTAGATTTATTTCAGTAATTCCATTCAAAAAGAGAAACTTGTATATTTTATCCATTCATTACATACAGACTGATGTATTTCAAATGTTTCTTTCTTTTAACACCTGCAAAGGCTTTTAATTGGTCTCAGTCTAGTTCTGTAGGCTAAAGAATCATGGGGAAGACTGCTGACGTGACATTTGTCCAAAAGACGACCGTTGACACCTTGCACAAGGAGAGCAAGACACAAAAGTTAATTGCTAAAGAGGCTGGCTGTTCATAGAGCGCTGTGTCCAAGCACTTTAATAGAGAGTCGAAGGGAAGGAAAAGATGTGGTAGAAAAAAGTGTATAAGCAACAGGGATAACTGCACCCTGGAGAGGATTGTAAAACAAAACACATTCCATAATGTGAGGGAGATTCACAAAGAGCGGACTGCAGCTGAAGTCAGTGCTTCAAGAACCACCACACACAGACGTATGCAAGACATGGGTTTTAGCTGTCACATCCCTTGTTTCAAGCCCCTCCTGAACAAGAGACGGCATCAGAACCGTCTCGCTTGGGACTGCTGCTGAGTGGTCCAAACTTATCTTCTCTGATTAAAGTAAATTTTGCATTTCCTTTGGAAATCAAGGTCCCAGAGTCTGAAGGAAGATGAGAGGCACAGAATCCACGTTGCTTGAGGTCCAGTGTCAAGTTTCCACAGTCAGTGATGGTTTGGGGTGCCATGTCATCTGCTGGTGTTGGTCCACTGTGTTTTCTGAGGTCCAAGGTCAACGCAGCATCTACCAGGAAGCTTTATAGCGCATCCTGCTGCTGCTGATCAACTTTATGGAGATGCAGATTTAATTTTCCAACAGGACTTGGCACCTGTTCCAAAGCTACCTGTACCTGGTTTAAGGACCACGGTATCCCTGTTCTTAATTGACCAGCAAACTCTCCTGACCTTAACCCCATAGAAAATCTATGGGATATTGTGAAGAAGATGATACACCAGACCAAACAATTCAGAAGAGCTGAAGGCCACGATCAGAACACCTGAGCAGAGCCACAGACTGATGGACTCCACGCCACGACGCACTGATGCAGTAATCCAGGCAAAAGGAGCAACAACTTAGTACTGATGCTGCACATGCTCATACTTTTCAGTTGTCCAACATTTAAAAAAAAAAATATATATATATATTTTTAAATTGGTCTTAAGTAATATTCTAATTTTCTGAGATACTTAATTTGGGGTTTTCATTAGTTGTCGGGTTATAATCATCAAGATTAAAAGAACATTTGAAATATATCAGTCTGTGTGTAATGAATTAATATAATATGCAAGTTTCACTTGTTGAATGGAATTATTGAAATAAATAAACTTTTTCATGATATTCTAATTTTATGACCAGCACCTGCATTTTAATGAAACTTTCAGAAAGTAATCGTTTGATGTACTTCTAATGCTGTATATCAACTGAACAACTTTTGGAGTCATTGCGATTAAAAATGACTGGAGGGCAGATTATACCGTCGATCATCTCCGCCAAACTGCAACCAGACGCAACCATTTAGCTTTAATTTAAGTTGGCTGTTTAGCACACATTGTGGGCGCTTCACATTCCTTCAAGAACTTCTGGACCTTTGTTGAATAGCTTCAGGTAGACAAATCTTGACGGTGAGATTTTTGTGTAGATGCTGAAATATTTCCATTTTTTCCTGTAAAATTAGTTTAGTCTTTTTTTAGTTTGAGCTCCTTTCTGTCAGATCTGAGGTCTGACTCTGTTGCTTGAAGATTTGTTTTTCTCTCAGACCTGAACACACACCTGGAATGGTTTGGTGTGATTACTGGTTTCCTGTGAGCAGACAAACACGGTCTACACCTCCACAGTCGAGCTGCAGCCTGGCTTTAATTCATGACGTCTATAAGGAGATGATTCATGACTGTAATTATCAGACGTGACTCTCTGCTGTAGCTGAATATAAGCATCCTTCTTTTTTTATAGTTACATGAATATTAAATCTGTATTCTGTACTTTTGGACAGCAAAGCGATTATCACATTTTCAGACTCTTTCTGAAATTGTTTGGACTTCTCCTCCTCAGATTCCCCCTCCTCGCCTCACTGACCCATGAAAGAAGCCATGCCTGTTCTCACAGCAGGAGCAGGTAAGACGAATTGTCAGAACCACTCGGCTTCGTTTGTACGGCTCGAATCTCGCTGCGCTCCATCTGTTCCCGTTAACACGACTTCCTCCCTCCTGTGCAGGGCTTCATGAAACGCTGGCCCTGCTGACCTCCCAGCTGCGGCCCGACGCCAACCACAAGGAGGACATGGTCTTCCTCAAAGACGTCTTCAGCGAGAGGAGTCTGGCATACCTCATGAAGGTGATGAATCCCCCAAAATATCAGATGTTATGTTTCATCATCATTTAAGTTGATTAAAGCAGTCTCATCCAGATGTGCTTCTAGCAGAAGATTTAGGCCCGTCACGATAACACATTTTGCCGAGTGATTAATTATCTCAGAAATTATTGCGATAAACGATGTTTGAAATTTGACAATAATTAGTAATTATTGTCAAATGTAAGAAGAAATGTTTAGTGATGTCAGTTTAAGACTGTTTGAACCGAAGGATGGATAGTGAGGGCGCGAGCAGAGTGTCTTTTAAGAAAAATGGGAGGGAGGCCCCTCGACGTGACATGGGCTGTCTCTCCTTCCTGTTTTTTGGTTCTCAAAATGGCGGATGCTCGATGTGGTTTGAGCTCTTTAGCATTTTTCACACAAAGCTTTCAATAAAAAAATCAGTAAACAAGTTCTCAGCTTCTTTTTGCAGAGAAAAACAACTTTTTACACGAAGGCACGAGTTTCAACTGTGAGTTTTGGAGCTTTGTCAAGACGGAGGTTTTTTCCCCCGAGGTCGGCCTGTTAGCTTAGCTCGTAGCTTAGCTTCTCAGTTTAGCTGCTTTTAATAATCCAAAAACGTGATTTTGAACGTTAAAATGTATTTTAAAGAGAAAGGGAGGGGTCAGTGAAGAGCACCGGAGTTGAGCCTTTTCTCATCCAGTGTCTTCAGTAGAGACGAAGAAACGATAAAGCCAATAAATGAAAACGAGGTCGATAATTTTCATTTATCATGCGATTAATTGATTTATTGTTTTTCGCGACAGCCTAAGAAGATTATTCCAGGTTTTTATTTAGTTTTAACGTAACTTCCCTCTTCTGTACTACTGATATAAATCACAATAAATGTCTGCCAGTCCAGTCACGAACGTGCACTGAACTCTGCTCTGTTGGTAAAAACGTTTCTGTTGCAGATCCACGAGAAGCTGCGGCAGTACGAGCGGCAGAGTCCTGCCCCGGTCCTCCACAGCGCCTCCTCTCTGGCTGAAGATGTGAGTTCGTCACGAACCTTTACTGACTTTTCCTCACTCTCCTGGGTTAACTCTGACAGAGGAGCAGCGCAAATATCAAATGGGAATTTTAATGTTCTCAAAGTGCTGACTCATCCTGATGCTCATCTAATAAATGTCCACTTCCTGCCTCCGTCCTGCTCACCAGTGGGAGGAAACTGCTGACCTGAGCTGCTTACTACTTATCTTTCCTGTCTGTCTGTGCGTACAGGAAGCTGCAGTGTACTTTTCCTGTGTGCACCAGGTTTTAAGGTCTCAGAGTTTGTGTTTGTGGTGATTGTTCAGGTGGCAGAGGAGCTGCAGGGAGGACCGATGAGCACCGAGGAGAAGGAGCTGCTGCACCTGCTCACGTCGCCACACCTCAAAGTGAACGGACTTTTAGCTGCACGTGAGCGTCACGGCTTGTAGTCCCTCTCACCTTAACGAGCTCCCGTTTTCCCCCTCTCCCATCAGGCCGTGCTCTCGGTGCACGACACCGTGGCCCAGAAGAACTTTGACCCCGTGCTGCCGCCACTGCCGGACGACTTTGAGGACGAGCTGGACGAGGAGTCGGTGAAGATCGTCAGGCTGGTGAAGAACAAAGAGCCTCTGGTGAGCTCAGAGACGAGGAGCGGATGAGCGCGGAGAGGAATGACGTTTATTTCAGTTATTGACTTCTTCTCTCCGTTTCAGGGAGCCACCATCAGGCGAGATGAAGCCACCGGCGTGGTGATCGTGGCTCGAATAATGAGAGGAGGGGCAGCTGATCGAAGCGGTACGGTTTCTATGTCCTGTCTTAAGCAGAGAAGGTGAAGTTCATGTTTGATACGTTCATTTCATTTGAATTTGTTGAAAGTGCTTCTGTGTTTTTTACGATCATCTGTGGGACGAGTTAATCGTGTCAGTTTATTTGTACCTGATACGAGAAACTTAACGACCCCACTGCAGGTTGAAAGAAGAATTAATGTTGTTCTTTTTAACGTTAAGATTAGTGCATTTGTTTTTATACCGCAGCTATAACAAAACAAACATCTGATTGTTTCTGACTACTGAAGAAGGAGCAGCGTTTCCTCTCAGTCCAACAACTGCAAATCACAACGTTCAGGAACTTGAGCAAGATATCCGTGCACAGACATCAGAAATCTGAGCCTTATTGATTCACGTTTGTCTTGCTTAGTTTGTTAAAATCCCTTTAAAATCAATTTTTTCTCTTCTCTTCTTTAAACTTCATCAAATTTAAAGTCAGCAGGAAAAAAAGCTAAAATAAAATGAAAGAAAAAAGCTCAAAGTTCTGCAAATGAAGCCAACGTTAATCAGCCATAGCTGTTTTTATGTAAAATAAATTAAATCTGTAAACCTACAATTTAGACATTTCTGGAACTTTCTAACATGTTGTGTTATCAGTTCAACAGGAAGTTCATTTTACCAAAATAAAATGACAGTTTTCATATTTTACTATTTCTGGATTAAGCTCACACTCTGAAAATAAAGTAAAAATATAATTTTATTTTTATTTTTTCAAACACAGGTCAAAGTTAATCAACATGAGGAAACTTCTCATGTTTTCCAACAAGCTCTCTGGTTATCTGCATCCTTGACAACAAAGAAGGCAACAAATCTCAACAAAAAATGTCATTTAAAAAGTATTATCACAACATATACAAAGTTTACTGCAGGCAGATGTTCTCAGTCAGCCATCTTGTGAGTGGCAGACTCTTTTAGGAGCTGCTCGAGTCGAACTTCCTCATCTTTGTACTTCAGAAGAGACACTCAGTTTATTTAAAGCAGGGATTAAAGCAGAAAAAATACAGTGACTCAAGTTTTTTCTACACTTAGACGTCACCCAAGCACCCCCTCCCACCCATACAACACATTTGAGAGCTTTCTCCTGCAGACACGTCACTTCTTAAAGGCTTTTTTTGTCAAGAGTATGCTGGATACACGACTGTAGTAAAAGTACACAGTATACTGTGTACATGACCTTAGTAAAAGTACATAGTGTTCTCTAATGAAGCATCATTCTGAAGGAAGAGATGTTTTGAACAACTTTTCTCTAGTTTACTTTTAAGTTATTTTAGTAATTTTAACAGCGTTGTCAGATATTTTTTAATAAATTATAGCACAGGAAGTCCTTTGCAGAGTATAAATAAACTTTTTTTTAATTTGCCAGACTGACAAATTTCTCCCCAGAAATGATTTCATTCAAAGAGATTATATTTACAGTATTTCAGCTCATTTAGTCATTTAATACCCGTTATTTTTCATCTTTGATCATTTATCATTTTTGTACAGTTAGCTCAGTATGATTCTAAATATAATCAAGTTCAGCTCATCCAAACAGACACAATGTCTTGTTCAATTCATCCTGCTGCACCATTATATTCTACCGTGTTGTTCAATATATATCTGTATAATTTTTCACTTTTTGGTACTTTTTTGTGTACTCTTATTGCATGCTTTTAGTATTTCTTGTTGGTTTGTTCTTTGATTTTTTTTAGCGAGTCAAATCGGTTCTTCTCATCCTAAACATTTCATTGTTCTTTTAACCCTGTGTTAACCGTGCATTTGACAAATAAACACAACTTGAACTTGACTTGTTGCCAAAACATGTACAATTAAGTTTGCAGACATTTGATAAAATACAAACACCTGAAACTGACTCGGAGACAACTTTACGAGTTTAGGGGTTAATTCAGTTCATTTTTTTATGTAGCGCCAAGTCACAACGGAAGTCATCTCAGAGCACTGAACAGAAACATTCATATATAAAATAAGTCAACGGAAACATTAATAAAAATAATAATTTAACATTATTTATCTGAGGAGCAGACTCCATCACAGAACTCTCATCTTGAGCAAGCATGAAGGCGACAGTGGAAAGAAAAAACTCCCTCATGAGGAAGAAACCTTTAGCAGAACCAGGATCAGGACAAGCTGCTTCGACTGGCTGGGTTTGGTAGGAATAGATACACAATGGCAGGTCAAGAATCACAGGTTGATAGAAATAGTATCAAATGAAAACTATTCAATTTTAGCAAAGCATTTAAGGAAATTAGGTCAATTTGTCCTCTAGTAGTTTAAGCCTATAGCAGCATAACAAGCCAACCCTAACTATAGGATTTATAAAAAAGGAAAGTCTTAATCCCAGTTTTAAAACTGGACAATGTGTCAGCCTCACGGACAGAAACTGGAAGTTGTTTCCACAAGAGAGGAGCCTGATAACTGAAAGATCTTCCTCCCATTCTGTTTTTGGAAACTCCAGGAGCCACAAGTAAACCTGCAGTCTGAGAGTGAAGTGCTCTGTTAGGAAAATATGGAACAAAAGGATCTGTAATATAAGATGGAGCTAGGTTGTTGAGAGCTTTGTAGGTTAGAAGTAATATTTTGAATTCTATTCTGGATTTGACAGGGAGCCAATGGAGAGAAACTAAAACTGGAGAGATATGATCTCTCCCAGTAGCTCCAGTTAAGACTCTGGCAGCAGCATTTTGGATCAACTGAAGATGTTTTAAAGAAATATTTGGACACCCAGATAATAAACCGTCTCAATAGTCCAGTCTAGACGTGACAAATGCATGAACCAGTTTTTCTGCATCATTTTTAGTAGAGATGCACAATACTGGATATTTGGCCGATAACCGATAACAATATTTTTTATATACGTTCCTTTGTCACAACATAGCCTTTGGTAAAACTCACCCAGGTGCTATCGGCTATTAGCTTCTCAATGACGGCTTGTAACTCGGGTAAGGCTACGTCCAAAAAATATCCGACTGGGGACGATGTAGCGAGGCTCAACGTAGTCCAGAAAACTTCAGAATCCGACATCCTCAACGAAAAAAATCTTCCACACCGCCGCCATTTTGAATTTTCCTCTCCGCCGTGATCAGATCAGGAAAATGCGCGTGACGTCATCACGTTGCGCTGGCGCTGCAGACATCCTCGTCACTGGGTCGTCGTACAAAAACAGAATCTTTTATATCGGTGAGTTGTTTTGATGGAATGGCCGATATTGAACTTTAACGCTAATATCGGCTGATACCATGCCGATAATACTGTGCATCCCTAATGTTTAGATGTTACACAGACACACACTTATGCTATAATCTGGAGCATATAAATATTAATATTTTAGTGTTATGGTTTAATTACAAGAACTGAAGCGGCAGAACACATTAACATTTTTTAAGCTCGCTTTGCATTATTGTAACTTTGCATTAGTTTGTGCTCTCAGAGAAAAATCGAATGGTTTCAGAAAGTGAAGAACTTGCGTTTTACAGCCAATATAGGATTATTATTGTAAGCCGACTCCTGCTGGTACTGGAAGCCTGTGAAACGGCCCCTCTGTGTCTCCTCCCACACAGACTCAGGTGAGCCCAGCCAGCTCGTGTCAAACGCCGGACATTTTGTTATCCCGCCCCTCCTCATGTTGGACGGGGACAAAATCCAGGACTGACCCACACAATCAGAGCAATTGAACCCCCCCCCCCCCCCCCCTTTCATTTTCACTGATGACGGGAATTTGTTCTGGTGACAGAGAACTTAAATTCATGTCCGTTTCACTTGGTGGTTCACCGGACCACCTCAAGGCGAGAGCTGGTTTTCCAAGACCCCTGATCAATATGTTTGGACTTAATGTTTTTGCATTTTAATCTGCCATCTCTTTAACTCAACGTTCTTAGATCTGTTTGCTTTTCTTATTAATAACTTATAACACGTCTAACTCTAACCAAATTGCCTATAAAACTACCCTCAATAACATTTAGTTTAGTCAGAAACCAAAAGAAGTCCAAAAATCAGACTTAGAAATTGCTCATTGTGATTTTTTTATTTATGGATACTAAATAAAAATCAGTTTTTATTCAAGCACATCTGACAGAACCTTAATTTCTGTCAATTAAAGATGACATTTGTACCGTTATGTCATGTTGCTTACAATGAATGATAAGAAAGTTGGAAAGGGCTCAATGTCACAAGTTTCCTTTTAATCTGCTGTTGGAGTTGTTGCAGAACCAGTGGTGTAGTCTCCATTTCTGTAGTGGGTATACTGGGCTTAGAAACCAAACTAAACTGGTTAGTACAATGTAACTGTCGATTTATTTAGATTTTTAAGCGTATTGAACATTTCCAAATTTCTCTGCTGTTTATATTTGAATAAATGAACAACAAGCTTTGTACAACAGTTGGCTTGGTATTAAAAACATTTATAGAATTTATAAAACGGTATCAAAGCAAAACATGTTCAAGTATTAAGTAGTGCGTACATAATTATACAATAATTTACTGGATAAAATAATTTATTAAACAAGTGCTGCATACTGATGGATTGTTGTGGAAGCATTTAACTTGCGTTTAACGTATCGATGACATGTGTCTAATGAAATGCCATGTATCACTGGGCACGTTTAATTGGGCATACTGAAAATCTTAAGCTTTTCTAGTGGGTATACTCCGTATGCTGCGTATCGCGTGGACTACACCACTGTGCAGAACTCTTCCCTGGGTTGTTTGCAGAACCAGGCTCACCTCGGTAAAAGCTTTCATCTTTGTTAGGTTTGAAGAAATGGAGAAAGTTGTGCATTTGATCATGACTCGTTCTTGCAAAGATGCAGGTAGATGTTTGTAGCCGGACTGAGTTGTGCAGCACAACCTGCGTGTGAGGAGGAAAATATGGCGACTCCTTCCTGCAGTTATTGGCGAAGGTTGGTCTAAAATGTCACTCCGTTGACGGCATCAGTCACTGTCCCAAACATAAATTAATTCTGCTCAAATGAGCTGCGTTCAGGTACAAGTCCCTTAACTGGCTGGACAAGTTCATAAAATATTAATCATTCATGCACATGCTTATTTGAACACATTTGTTCACAACACAGGTTTTATTTATGGACCGAAGCCACTACTGTAGGATAATAAGACCGTAAAAGACTCTGATCTTTAAACAAACGTGACTACGTTACACTTTTTTACCTTTTAGTCCAAACAAGAAGTGACAAATGTTCATAAATGTCGGCCTTCAAAAGAAAAGCTCATGTCGAGATTGAGGCCTGAGCGGCAGAGATGCTGCAGCAGGAGGGAAATGAAACGGAGTCAGAATCCATTACACGATGCACTCTCAGAGGTCCACGAATGGGCGTTACCGTGGAGATGTCCGCCACGTGCAAGTGTTTGACATCAAAAACACGCAAGCCTGTCGGATACCCCCAATTAGTTTCCATACCCATGAATCTTTAATGTTCCTCCGAGTTCTTGCAGCGTCGGGTCATTCAAGCTGCTGTCAGTGTGAGGAGTGAAGCTGTTCAGGTGGGGCCTCAGGCTGCGTGTGCACCTGGTCGATACATGATACACCTGAGTGAGCGAGCGAGTGAGTGAGTGAGTGAGCGAGCGAGCACATAAAGGTCTGGGAAAGTCGTATTGATCGTTGGCTTCGGTTTCATTGTTGTGGCTGCAGCTCTAAAAAATCTCATCTGAGAAAGAGGCTTTTTGGGTCTCAAATCCAACAGAACCCTGAGGTGTCTCTCGGGTCCAACAGAACCCTGAGGTGTCTCTCGGGTCCAACAGAACCCTGAGGTGTCTCTCGGGTCCAACAGAACCCTGAGGTGTCTGTTGTTCCCTCACAGGTTTGGTCCACGTAGGAGACGAACTCAGGGAGGTCAACGGAGTGTCTGTGATCCAGAAGAGGCCGGATGAGATCAGTCAGTTGTTGGTAAGATGGACACAGACTCATTCACACTATTCTGGTACAATAATAATGTTCACATCAGTGTATTTATTTATTTTAATAAGAAAAGTTTGTGTAGGCCGGTATGTTTTATTTCTTTTTTTTAATAGACCTGTCGAAGGCGGGCCGTGTTATGGTATAGTGTGCACGTCCGTAAACCTTCTCATATTCCACCCGTAACTTCTGATTTGCTCAAGATAATTTAATAAAGCCTCATAAATATGTGCATCATCCCTAGGCAGAGCGTCACATACACTTTTCATAACTCCAGCTCTAAGATCGAGGTCGCAAATCAAGTTTTAATGTTCTATAAGGTCTTAGCTTGTCTGGAACATCGCTATAGATTATTATTTTTTTTCCATTCAACCTTTATTTAAACAGGTTAATCCCTGTTTAATTATTATTTACAAATTAAAACAAGATGGCAACAAAAGTAGCAGAAACAGTTAGATTATAAGGCGAATGTAGAAAACTAAAAACAGGAGCATGTCTGCGTTGGTCCTTGCCCGGAGTCCAACCAGGAGATTGCTGCATCTAGATTGTCGATGGGCGTGTAATGTGCCGGATGTGGTACTCCTATTATCGATTCAAAGCATTCACTGTTGTTGTACAGTTTAAACGTTCAGTTTAGGCATTTCTCAATAAAATAAACATTTAATGAAGGTGCTGCTTCTCCAAAATGTCATAATTCATGAGTTTTTCTTTTTTTAATTGTAATGACGAGCTGTATCCGCTATTATGACCAGAAGTCTCAGGTCAAATACATTCTATTTTTTATTTTATACATTTTTTACTGCCTTTGAACAAACCCTGAAACATAATAATAATAATAAATAAACATTTAAGCTGTTTAAACTTCAGCTTTAACTGAAAATGACAGAATCTTCTAATATTTTTTCACTTGTTCCGTGGTTCAGGAACATCGTTGTCGTCTGGACGATAATGTTTTTGTGTACGAGTGAATTTGAAGCCAATCGAATTCAAGATGGCTGCAGACTTAAAGCTAAGACTTGATGTGGAAGTAGCTGAGAGTCATTCACAACATGTCGTGACATCTTGAGAGATTATTTTCAAGCTTTGGTCAAAATAGCGTCGTCATTTCTCAGCATGTGCAAGTTTTATAAGCGAGCAAAATAAACAAACCTGTAGAGTCACATTTTTCTCTTAACTATGTTTCTCTTTCTTCTGTGTCCTGGTGTTTTTTTATTGTTGTTTTTTATTTTTAGTCCCAGTCCCAAGGCTCCATCACTCTGAAGATAATCCCAGCCATCAAGGAGGACGACAGATTGAAAGACAGCAAGGTGAGCGTGGAGAAAAGAGAGCTCATGTACTTTTATTTATATACACAAAGTAATACGATCAAATGTATGTTTTATTTTATTACAGGTGTACATGAGAGCCTTGTTTGACTACACCCCACTGGAGGACAAGGCCACGCCCTGCCAGGAGGCGGGACTTCCCTTCAAACGGGGGGACATCCTGCAGGTGGTGACGCAGGACGACCCCACGTGGTGGCAGGCCAAACGAGTGGGAGACAGCAACCTGCGGGCCGGGCTCATCCCCTCCAAACAGTTCCAGGAGAGGTGAGAACACCCAGAGAGCCGCTCCCTGCGTCCGGCTTAACGTGCAACGCAAGCTCACCGCAGGACTGAACGTTTCACCCAGATGCCGCTGATTTGTTTCATTCGGCCACTTCTAATCTTTTCAAATCCACATTCATGTGTTTTACTGTCAGAGGTCAGCTGTGATTAGATGGAGCATCGGAGCTGCACAGCGGAAAAAACAAAGTTGAAATGTAGCGATGTGGAGGCAGACGCTGCTGCCGAGTGTCATAATCCACCCGCAGGATTATCGTCGCAGGCCGGAGGGGTTCCTGCCAAACACCGCAGATACGACTGGATTAAAGACCGCAGCCTGAGCAGAGATGCAGAGCAGGACAGCACGTGCGCCTCTAGATTATGAAGCAATGCTTCTATTACTTGTTGAAAGTGTTTAAAGGAAAAGTTGGAGACAGAGACATGGACAAAAAGACACGAGACAGTGGCAGAATTGATGTTGAGGTTCTCCTGAGGAGTGACGAGGATGGATAAGATTAGGACTGAGATCATCAGAGGTACAGCACAGGATGAACAACTGGGAGATCAAGTTAGAGACGGCAGACTGAGAAGGCTTGGACATTGGACATGTCCAGAGGAGGAGCAGTGGTTTGGACATGTCCAGAGGAAGGACAGTGGGTATACTGGTAGAAGGATGTTAGAAATGCAGCTGCCAGGAAAAAGACAGAGGAGACATGGAGGTAGTTGGAGTTTCAGAATTACCTTCTGAAAAATGCAGTGGTTCAACAGATATTTTGCTAACAGACAGACAGTTAACGCAAACGTTTTATTGCAGTTATGTGTTGAGGATGAATCACAGCCACAACCACTTTTTAAATCGATTGGTTTGGAGTCAGTTTTGTGTTGCTTGGCGGCCATCTTGATTTGCGTTGACTTCTAAGGATAATTCGTTATAGAAGAACGTCCGGCGATTAATTCCTGAAAGTTTATTTGAACTCCGCTGTGATTTACGAGGTAGTTTTGTAACAAACGCGGGTAAAAAATATCGACTTTTTCTTTTCTGTGATAAAACGTCGGATACAAAAACAGCCGTCTTAAACGTCTAACCCATCAATTTTATTTTTGTTTTGCTCTACCTTGTTTTTATCTTTATTTCCTCTTTGCTTCCTTTCCTCCTGCATTTATCCTGTTTGCTGTGCACGTTCTTCCAGGCGACTGGCCTACAGGATGAAAATGGGCACGCTCCCGAACCCCAAATCCCCTAAAAAGCCGTTGTGTAAGTTTCTGCTCCTTCGAGTTTCACATCATCTCCTGCATCTTTCTGTAATGAGAACATTTTACTTTATTGTTTTCCTTCTTTACTAATAAACTCAGTTATTACAGCACAATAATGTCTTTGTAACATTTAGAGACCTTTGTCTATCTATTGGTATTCTTCTGCCTTAATTTATTAGTATTTATCGTCCATCCTCTGGTAGAGGCAGGTTTTTAAAAGGATGAGAGGGAGATGAAGAGTCACAGAGATGGAGGGAGGATTATGAATTAATCTCTTTCATGTTTAGTCCATCTGGCAAGCTGCAAGTTCAGCCTAAGTAGATCCAGGCAGCAAAACAACAGCTGCTCCCTGCTTCAACCACACACCGCCCTTCTCACCTGATGCTTTAAGGAACATGTAAACGTGCAGGTGAGTGGATAAAGAGGTGCACACGCCGCGGGCGATCCCATGAGGCCCGAACCACGAAGGAGACGAGAGCTTAGCTGGAAGGCAGCTAGCTGTGCTGCTCCACGCTGCAGCAGAACTGGTCCTGGCCTCCCTCCATGCTCTGTTTAGTCAACCAGCAGCAGCTTTTAAATGTGCCCCCCCAACACACATACACACTTATCTGACGTCAGCTTAGCATCATTCTCTTAATTCTAAGCGTTCTGCAAACAAAACCTGCTCTTGTACCGTGTCTAACACTGTTTTTACTCTTCTTCGCTGCGTTCTGTATCAGCTGAACAAGGATGTGATAAAGGTGGGTACATTTGCAGTCACCAGACACCCCCCCCCCCCTCCAAATACACAGTGATGGTGACGCCTTAAAGCGTGTTATGTTGTTTGTCATATGCAGGTTAACACGAGGTCGACAGTGGAACGAAATGTTCAGGATGAGAAGAACCAATTTGACTTGCGATAAATAAATAAAAAACAATAAATACTAAAACATGCAATAAGGAACAAAATAAAGTACCAAAAAGTACAAAACAAATATAGTATTTACAAGGTCCAAAAGAAATATGGTGAACAACATGGTAGAATATAACGGTGCAAGTAGGATGAATTGGTATACATCTTTCACAGGTAGTAATATCGTGATGTTAGATTAAATGCACATGATGCATATTGTACATTAACATAAACCACAGGTTGAGTGACAGGTTATTGCACGAGTAGTGAGTAACATTGAGATTAATTGAATTATGATGGTCCGGTAGTGACAAACACGATACAGCCACATAATGCAGCAGCAATAAATAATAAATATATTAGCTGTCACAGACGTGGCGTGGTGCAAAGTAATTGTCAGTTGTTCCGTGTTATTTATCAAGAGTTCAGTAATCTGACAGCTTGGGGACAATAACTGTCTTTGAGTCTTTTTGTACATGATGACAGACTCCTGTATCGTCTGCCTGGGGGGAGTAGATGGAAGAGTCCTTGTGCTGGGTGGGTGTGGTCCTTCATGATGCTGCGTGCTTTACGCAGACATCGGCTGTAGTAGATGTCCTGGATGGTGTGGAGACTGCTACCAGTGATGTCCTCTGCTGTTTGCACCACCCTCTGTAGAGCTTTCTGACTGGTGCCACCCTGTGATGCAGCCTGTCAGCAGGCTCTCAGTGGTGCACCTATAAAAGTTGGTGAGGATGCTGGTGCTCGTACCAAACTTCTTTAGTCTTTTTAGGAAGTAGAGTCTTTGTCGGGCTTTCTTGACCACAGTTTGTAAAGTCCAGGACAGATCCTCAGGGGTGCGAACGCCGAGGAACTTGGAAGCTGCTCCACCTCAGTGTTTATGTACATTGTGTGTGTGTGTGTGTGTGTGTGTGTGTGTGTGTGTGTGTGTGTGTGTGTGTGTGTGTGTGTGTGTGTTAACAGGTGATGTCCAAGTAGAACGACACACCCGGAGACTTTAAACCTGTGTTTTGTTGTCTAATGATCTGTATTTTTTTTTTTACACATTTTGCAGTGTTTGTTTGAGGGGGGGGGGTCGACAGAGATTTGGCCGACAGCAGAAAAACAGATTTTTTTATCCAGCATTTATTAATCGTTCTTGCCTCTGGTAGCACTCCTTCATTATCTGTGGGCTGCACCTTCACCCTCTCCTCCTCCTCCTCCTCCTCCTGCCTCCCTCCTGTTGGGCTGTGCCCCCACCCGCCTTACTTTTCCAGGTCTGTACCCAGTGCTTACCCCCTCTCTCCCCTGCTTGCCTCCCTACAGAAGACTGTGACTGTGAGGGCTATTTCAATGGACAGTACATAGGTGAGAGCGTTGCACATCTGTCTCCTCCTCTTCCTCTTCTGCCTGCTGCACCCCCCCCCAGTGCATTGGGTTGTGTGTTGAAATGACTGTCGGGGGTTGAAGGATGAGAAGGCGGGCGAATATTTTAAACAGTAGTTGAAGTAATTTAAATTCATAAAATAAAATATTGACATAATCAAGAGTTCATCTGCTCTGATTTCTGAAGATCAACCGACTAGTTAAAGGTCAAAAGGTCATAAAACATCTGGAGATGATCTCCAGAAAGCTAATTAAATTAAAAACTGATAAAATAATTTTAGACCATGTTGATGGGGCCGTTGTTTTTTTTTTTTTTTTAAACCAGTCGAGGTCCCGTCAGCTGCTGTGGTGAGAAACACTTTTAACTTGAATAAATATATTTTTTAAATCTTTGATAACCAAAGGAAAATTATTCTCTATTTAACATTTTAAAAAATTTAACGTTCCTCTAATTTTGTGAAAATACATTTTAATTATCTTTAGATCCCCACTGCCCCCCGTCTAATGAACCTGAACATCATTTACCCCCCCCCCCCCCCATGCTGCTGAGCTTGAGGAGTGACTGAAACGCAGCTTCTTCCTCCGTGACCAGCACTTCATAAACAGAACGTGCGCTTCCTGCTCCCAGCTGAACCCTCCCCTCCCTCCGAACTGTCAGTGCTGTCCCCCCCACCCTCCCCCCACCCCTTCCTTTGAGGGTCTTGGTCACATTGCACACCACACCAGGCACGTTTGTTGCTCGTTCACCCTTGTCGTGGAGGTGATGCTCTAACGCCAGTTATAGTCTCTCCTAAGTGTAAAGCGGTGACGCCCTCCTGTGGCCAGGTGTTTTCCTGGGAATTTTATTCAGGTACAGTGCCCTGCTCATTCCTGCAAGGGAGGGGGGTGTTCCAGACTGTTCTGACCGTGGGAGACTCTGCAGCCGGCCCCTGTCATTTAGCGTGGCGTCTCCCAGGGCCAGGCGGTCCTGGAGGTCCTGCCTCAGCACCGACTGTAATGAAGGAACATATTGAACTTGTCTCTGACGAGTGACGGAGCCAACGAGTCATTTTCAGCACTAAACATGTTTATGAACTGCATGTGAACAAAATCAAGACCTCGTTGACACAAACGTTTATTAATGCATGACATCTGGTGTACGATTGTGTTAATGTGCACGGCTGAGTCACGTACACGAGACCCAGACGTTTCACCCTTTCTGCTCTTTTCTTTCCGTCTTTCCACCTGTAGCTGGTTTACGGAGGAGTTTTCGTCTGAGTCGTAAAGACAGACGGGGATCGTCAGGAGAGGGTTCTGACATCGGGGAGCCAGAGTTCTTGACGTACGAGGAGGTGACCCGCTTCCAGCAGAGACCCAACGAGCGACCTCGTCTGGTGGTCCTAATCGGTGAGTCTGAAGAAAAGTTGTTTCCCGTCATCGTACACTGGAAGTTTTCTTATTTTGTTGCCTTCAAACCTGGAATTTAATTGGATTTTTACATTTACAACAAATACTTTAAATTATTGAGGTTGAAAGTTTGTTTTAAGGGTTTGGGAAATGTTTAAAACCCAACTGACCAGTGTGGACGGTTCTTGGTCTTCATGATGTCAGTTGTTGGGCTGTACAGTAGTCCCTCGCTACTTCACGGTTCATTCATCGCGGTTTTTCAAAATAAGACTGGACATGACACTCAATTGGCTGATTGATGGAATTTTTATTTAAAATAAATTATTTAACACCTGCTGCACCTTTGTGCAGGCCATACTGCAGGATCAGCTGTTCTGTGTGCAGAGCGGAGAAGTGGGCGTGGCCAAGAGCAGAGGAGGCAGAGCGTTTAGAAACATTGTTTAGAACATCGCAAGAGTGTGGGACGGGTTTAAAATGCTTAACATATATATAAATACTAAAATAAACTAGTACTTACATTCCTACTTCGTGGTTTTTCACTTATCGTGGGGCTTCAGGGTTCAGATCCCCTCGATAAACGAGGGACTACTTTAGACTAAATGACAGTTCCAACATGTGGATCCTACCATTGCTGAACACGTGCATCAGTTTTCCCCCCATATTTAATTTCATTAATCTAGAATAATTATTGGTTTTAAGTTAAAAAGTGTAAATAAATTCCATATTTGAAGGCCTAGACAAATGACCAAGAGGTGACATGTTTTTTTGTTCTTCCAAAGGATCACTCGGAGCACGCATCAATGAACTGAAGCAGCGAGTGATCGCTGAAAATCCACATCGTTACGCTGTAGCTGTTCCACGTAAGTCACCGTTTTGAACTGAACGTTGCCCGATAATTGAACAATTTCACAACAAAAACTTTCTCCCGCTCCATCAGATACCACCAGGCCCAAGAAGGCGCAGGAGAAAGATGGTGTGGAGTACCACTTCGTCACGAAACAGCTGTTTGATGCAGATGTTTTAAACAACAAGTAATGATCTCCTGCGTTACTTTTATTTGAAGGCGTGTGATTCTTGTCGTGGTAAAAGTTTTACCCTCCACAGGTTTATAGAACACGGGGAGTACAAGGAGAACCAGTATGGCACCAGTATCGAGGCGATCCGCTCTGTGCAGGCCAAGAACAAGATGTGCATCGTTGATGTGCAGCCTGAGGTAGGTTCTTAACACACGATGAGAAACACAGTGCGCACCGAACCTTCCCGACCCTCGACTTTCTTCTCTCCAGGCTCTGAGGCGGCTACGGACGGCAGAGTTCAAGCCGTACGTCGTCTTCGTCAAACCTCGCATCCCCGAGAGCAGACGTCGGCGCAGCGCAGCCACCTCACCAGGAGGGGGAGAGCACGGCCGCGTCACGGTGAGTCCTGCAGCACCAGTTTATTACAAAAAGTTATACAAGGAAACCAGTTAAGGTCCAGGTGTAGTTTCACATAATAATGACCCAAATATTCACGAACGGTAGAACAAGAAAAGTCCACTCCAGAGGTAACAGCTAACCTGGTGCACTCTAGTTCTGAATTAAAATAAAACATCACAAAGTCAGTGGTACAGATGATTTATGCAACAACATGGCTGCCTTTTACTTAAAGCGATAGTTCAGATATTTTGAAACAAATTGTTAAATGACACGTTTTACAGTAAGTTATCCATATTGATCGACGTCAAACGAACAGCTGCTGTTTTTTTTATCCACCTTATGACACAGAACAAAACCAGCATTAGTTTCTGTGCAAACAGTTCAATGTAGTTTCTCCAATAATTTTGGATTTAAATTGTGAGGATGGAGGACGACCTGAAGAAGTGGCTGCAGATTTCACCTACAAACATATTTGGTTGTTTCAGATGGTGAAGTGATGAACAACATGAAAATGTCTGTGTATTAGTATTTATACAAGGTCAGTCGTGTTTTGTTAAGCAGTGGGACACAATTTAATTTAAAGCCCTCCATCACTGAGCTCATCTTAATATTAAAGATGAACAAATACTTTAATGTTGTTCCCTCCATACACTTGAAATCATACGTGATCTTCTCTTCAATCCTTCTGAGGATCCAGGAGTTCCTCTGTCGGCCGTTTGTTAAGTTAAACACGTTCGGTGTCAAGTTCACCACCTTCTCATCTGTAGGTAGGTGATGGAGGAACAGGAACATTTTCTGTTGTTGTAGCCACAGAGTTAGTTTGATCTGGTTAAATAAATGTGAACAAAACAGTTTGATCTGCTAAACTGGATGTAAATTACTCTCAAATACTCCGCTACTTCCTGTCCGACAGGACGTTGGACCCATAATCATTTCTACAGTAGAGCCCCAGGAATAAATACGTGTCATGTCTCTTCGTGTACACCGTCTCACGTCTTCTTCCTCCTCAGGATGAAGAGCTCCAGGAAATGCGTCAGTCTGCAGCTCAGATCGATCAGCAGTACGGACACCTGGTGGACCGGGTTCTGGTCAAAGAGGACTCGGCCAGTGCTTGTTCAGAACTGAGAGGGGTTTTGGAAAGGTTGGAGCGGGAGTCCTTCTGGGTGCCCATCAGCTGGGTGCGGACCTAAACACTGCGCCACTGCGCAAATCTTGCACTGGTCTTCCTGTGACTCGGTCGGCCCGGAGCCTGAAAAGTGAAAGAATTACCTCAGATTACAGAAAGTTTTTTAGAATTGGTCCAGATGTCCTAAAACCTTCATTTAGCAGTAAATTATAAGGATGTTCTTTTAAAGGAAGCATCTTTGTTGAGTAATGACACAGTACCTTATTTAACTTTTTATTAGCATGGGAAGTGCCTTTTGGGAATCATCACGACTAAGCTGGTAGTTTAAATGTCCCCAAGGCAAAAGTTCACACAATAAACTTTAATTTGTCCCGTCAGGTCCTTATTGCATGTGCCACTTTGACAGGAAGCAACTTGAGAAAATACACAGACGTCTCTGAATCTGGAGTGACCAGCATTCACCTTTATAATTTAATCTACTGGAATATTCTGGACAGAGCTCAAAATCCATCACACCAGTCAGATACTGGTTTATTTATCTTAATGTTGCATACAGATGGTTTTTTTAAGCAGATTGCTTCAATGTAGAAATGTGAAGGGAAAAAGTTCAAACTGCTTCATTTATTAAATTTGAGTACTAGTTAATCTGCACGAGGATGCGTTTCCAGTCAGAGGAGCTCCTCTGATAGAAACCACCAAGGCGATTTATTTCAAAGGCCAGGAGATTAAATTATTAACGTGATTTTTAAAAAAGTTTGCTCCTACACTGTTTACAATCGGGACCATGAACATCTGTGTTTAGACTTTTATGCAATTTATTTTCTAATAATTTAACCTGTAATTCAATCAAAATGTTTGATTCTCATGCAGATTAGTTCACAGTAACTCGCATCAATTAGGCTTGTCGCGATAAATCAAAAATTATCGAGCTCATTTTCATTCATGGGCTTTATCGTTTCTACTGAAGACACTGGACGACTCCCTTTTAACGATCCAAAATCACGTTTTTGGATCGTTAAAAGCAGCTAACAGAAACTTCAAATTCACAGTTGAAGCCCGTGTCTTCGTCTAAAAAGTTGTTTTCTGCAAAAAGAAGCAGAGAACTTGTTTACTGATTTTTTTAAAAAAATTAAAAGTTTTGTGTGAAAAATGCTAAAGAGCTGAAACCATAGAGCGTCCACCATTTCTAGAACCCCCCCAAAAAAGGAAGGACCACCATCCATCCGTCTTATACTGCCATCTAGTGGTCAAAGTACTACACAAAACAAATTGTCAAATTTCAAATATCATTTATCGCGATAATTTCTGAGACAATTAATCGCCCAACACAATTTGTTATCGTGACAGGCCTAACGTCATCGTCTGTTCGTTCCCACATCCTGCACAGAAGAGGAACATTTAGAAACGTTTCCATACGGAATGTGATCATTTTACGTTTTGATGCATGACAACTGTTGATGTAAATACTGTAAATGTTTCTCCGTGCGTGCCAACGAACCGTCTCGTAGCACTTTGATGCAACCCGTTTCCCTGAACTCTTGTTTCATGTATGTTCACATACCTTAACTTTTGCAGAAACGAATGGATTTTGTACAGTTTCTTGCACATATCTGTATTTTTGGCTGAAGTCGAGACGTCTGAACTGAGGTTTTTACGTAGAATAAAGGTCAGAGGAACAACTGTAGCAACCACGAGCGTTTAGCTTTATTTTCTAGCATGTGATTATATTAAAACTTGAAGAATGTGACATTAAATCAGGTAGTCGAGACGCATCTAATGTTGAATGTGAGCATCTGTTTCCACATGTTCTGACTTGTGAAATGCTTTGTAACCCGACACGTACAAAGTGCCATAATAAAGTTGACACGTCTTTTAAACTGCGCTGTGAATTCACCTCCATCTTTTTATCGCCTCTGGTGGAGTGAAGCTCTGCCAGGAGAGAACACGTCTTTTCTTGTGGCCACAAAACTATAAATACAAAATAATAATTGTGATTTGTTCAAACATTTCTACAAACACTTTCTTTTGAGAGTATTCACCCCTGCATGGTGAACACACTTCTGCAGGATCAGACGCCACAAACAAGATTTCAAGCTCCAGTTGTCAACTGGCTCACATCACGTGCATTGTTGGAACTTAGTGACATCTAGTGGTAAAAACAAAAAAGTGCAACATAGACGCTCAATTACACAATTTATATATACAAACTTGAATATTACACTGAATATTTAATTTGCTTGTTGATGCAGTGGTTTTTGTTTGACTGGAACCTCAACACAGAACAAGTAACAATGTTCTCCACCTGCGATGGAGCAGGATTAACCCAGAATAAACAAGACAAATGACCAAATCGTACAGTAGGGTTGTAGTCAAGATATAAATAAATATTTTTATAAAAGTTACATTTTGCAACTTTGCTTTTGAATGAATCTTATCAGCTTTTATAAATTTTCAAAGCTACATAAAGAAATCAGACATCCATGTGATTCAACAATAAAATTACACAACGTTAGATTGGAAGCAGCTTCATCACAAGCCAAGTCTTAAAAAACTGAAGTGGCAAAACACTTTTCATACGTCTGAACTCAAGAACAAGGATAATCAGTTGCACAGCGGTTTCAATAAAGTAGATACACATCTAAAAAGTTGCATAAATGGATATTAGTTACTCTTTGTGATGACATGGCAGACTTCTGCTGCACCCAGTCACTTCTCACTTTCTTGGAGTGACCAGTGTTGCCAGGTAGAGTCGAGGTTTTCAGCCCAAACAACATATTGTTAGAGTATAATTACAGTTTGAACATGAACACACGTCGGTACAAGCCAAGCTAATTTAACAATATGTGGCAAAATGCAACAATCCAACAAAAATCTTCCCAGAGTTCCCAGCAAAATCAGAATGAAAACCGCCCAATCTGGCCACACTGGGAGTGACGCGTGCGGGCGTGACAGCGGTAACAAAACCATGAATTTAGCAACGAGTCACGTTATCGCTCGGATTTAAATCAATATGTTAACAAATAAACAGGAGAATATTGTGGCAGTTTACTGATATTCACACAGTTGTGGTCTTGAAATAAAATCCCAAGTCCTCAACGCACGAGACCGAGACCATCAAAAAGTGGTCTTGAGACTGGTCTCGAGTACTACAACGCTAGTGTACAGATGTTAAAGATGAACTACAGATGTGGAGCTGGTGGGAAGTAGTCTGGCAAACTTTTGTTCAAACATCGATATCTCAAATAAATTAAAGATCAGCCGTTCCTTCGAGCCTTTAGAGTTTTAGCATCTGAAAAATGAGTTGGAACCATTTTGCACAAGATTCCAAGATGCGAGATGATCGTCTCTTCTGCCACACCCAGTATCAGCTCAACATCTGTACAAGTGACAGAAGCTGTGGCAGCAATCTGTCAGTTCAATCAGATCTCATTGGTTCATGAGATATTTTGCTAACAGGCAAACTAGGTTGACAGTTCAAGACGTCGCACGACGCTCAGAGTATGACTCTCAGCTAAATTTCAGTTCATGTGTTTTCTAAGGTCAGTTGGCTGTGGCGGCCATCTTGACCAGGGGTTGACTAAACTTTAATAAGTTGCACATTTACACTCATTCTGAACCTTTCGTTAAAACCCGTCCATGGTTCATTAGATATTTTGCTGAAAACCCCAGAGACGGAGGTAAAAACCGTATCGCTCGTTCTCCGTCGGTGGCGGGTGATGAGCATCGAGTCCATCTTCTCACAAGTCGACAGGAAATCAACTGAAGAACTGAACTTAAAGAACCGTTGACCTCAAAGATAAAACCGCTCCGTCCAATCATGTTTCAGACATTTTAGCTCCACCCTCTTAACCAAATATGGTCGTCTCCATCTTTAAAACGGTTCAGAATGGGTGACAAGTTACAAACGAGGCTGAAAATCCAGTTTTTAATCCGATAAACGTTCACTAATTATTTTCAACCAGATCAATTAAACTTTTTAATTTAAAACCTGCATGAGGAGGATTTCCTGTGACGGACGACACATCCGCACTTTGTCTTTTTATAGTTTTGAACAACCTGCGTCTCTTTAAGTCAGTTAATTAAAACGGAGCCACATCGTAGGAAAATGTGCCGAGGCGTAAAAAACGTTCATCACGAACAAACACAGGCAGTGGTTTACAAGATGGCCGCTTCATACTCCTAAAAACCAACATCTGTTTTGGAGGAACACATCTAAAATAACTAAAGGTGAAATCATGAGATCACAAACAGGGAGGATCTAAACGAACCCATCAAGGAAAGGATGTTCTGCTCGGGTCCATTTCTACAGAACATTATCACCCGAGCGTTGGGGATTCATTTACTGACGTCACGTTCTCAATAAATCAGCTGATCATAAGTGTCCGAACACATTTACTCGTTCGAACAATCGCCGGTTCGACTGGAGCTCATTCAGTTTGAGTGATGCAGCAAACTGACCCTTAAAGTTTAACGCAGCCACATTTACAACAAATATCACCTAAAACTTGGTGTGGTAGTAGCTGAGAGTCACACAAAACACTGTGTGTGCAATGTTTAGTGTTCGATGTAAGAATGTTTTACTTTAAAGCTCTGGCGGGTGATATGCATTCCTTCAAGGAATTCTAGGCCTTTAAATGCTACAATTCTGATTGTTTCAATTTAAAAAAATAACTTTTTCTGAGGTTTTACAAAATAAACCAATTCTTAAAACTGAAACTTTACGTTTTGTTTACATCGGCATCATCGCTCAAGTTTAAAACTTTGAAAACTTTTGATGAAAGTTCAGATTTATAAACGTTCTACGTTTTTAAATCTGAGGAATCTCGAATTCTGGCAGCAAAAAAACTAAATTAACATTTAAACTTTGAGAGCACTTGCATGAATCTAATCAAGTTTGTCTAATGAAGCTATAATAATAAAAACAAAGTGCCGTTGCGGTACAGCTCTGAATGCGATTGTGCTGAAAAGAGACAAAAACAGACGCTTCTGTTGCGGATTAACTAATAAAAATATCTTTAAATAATTTCCCTCTCTGAAAAACGAGAAACACTGAGATGATTAATTATGAGGTTATTAGGCGATCGTGAGATTTGTAAACATGTAAACTTACCCTGATGTTCTTTGAGTTCTTGCAGGAACAGATCTGAGCGCAGCTGTTATCAATCAGCTGATTACTGCAGAGTGTTGCGTTCAATGACTCCTGGAAAAAACACAACCGTGCTTTAGTTTATAATCTTTACCTTTCAGGTGCCAATTAAAGAACTTTTTAGCAACAGTTTTGACAAATTTACCAACATGAAACGTACAGGTTACATTTTTTTATGACCCCTATCAAACATTTTTAAATTATTTATATCTATGAAACATTGTTTTCAGATTATACAAATTATATAAATCAATGCAACAGAAAAAAATCCCAAAACTAAAGGATTGTGATAACAAAACATTTTTACATTTTACAAACAAAACATGTTTTCCTTGAAGTAAAACTTATTTTTTATTTTAGCCAATAGAAAAAAAAACCTATAATAATTCTGTAAATTTTGTAAACATTAAGCTAAAATATGTTTTACAGTTTATATGTTTTGTTTAAGATTAAATGTCTCACAAGTTTTTATCACTCAAAATGTCTTTTAGTTCACACCAGGAGAGAAAATAACGCCCGGCTGAGCAGAAAATAATCTGGGATTAAATGTTGGATTTATTTACTTTTCTTTGTAAAGAATAATGATATTATTATATCTTCTCACCACCAGATGGCAGAAGCAGAGCGTGTTATGGGTCTCGGTGCTGCTCCTGCAGTTCTGTGATGATGATCCAAACATCTGGACCTTCATCACCTTCAGGCCTGAGCCACTTGTTGACTGGAGCTGTAGAGATGAGATGGAATGAAAAGCCTTTAAATCCAGATTTCAGGGAGGCTGCTGATAAAGAACCAGAGCAGATGTCAACTCAC